TGGCATCGTATCGCTGGAACAGGGACCATAGCACTGAAAGCATAAGGCCATTTTCACATAAACTAACACAAGGCTCTCAAATTTCTATCCAAAAAATAAAGATAAAAATGAAGAATGGCATGGACAATGGATACACAGAAAGGGGAAGAAAAGCCCCAACCTTTAGGCTAGTAAATTTTATTATATTTTCCTGGCATGGATCCCAGAGACCTTTTCAGAGAAAAGGATGCCAAAGAGTTATTCTTCAGAGCCTTGGCTCTTATTAATGCAGATATTGTTCTATGTAAAGTTGTTTACTAGGACAGATTTTTTTTTTTTTATTTCAGTGTTATTTTAGAAAAGTGATTTTTCCAAAGCAGAGCAATGTTTGGGGGCAAAAGGTATGAGGGATATGATGCAGAGGTTTCCCCAAGTTTGCATTTACCTGGCCCAGTAGTAACTGTTGGTAAAATTCAATAAGCATGGCCCTAATCTGTTACCAAGGTAGTGCCATTGGCAGAGACCCCGCGATTCAATCATGTGCCTCAGAGAAAGAACATGATGGTTTGTTTGCACAGAAGTTACAGAAAATGTAATCTGACGTGGAAAAAAATAAATAAAACTATGTTTTCGGTTTTGTTATTAACACTTTGGTTTTTATATCTTTACTTATAAAACCTATTTGTCTTCTGTCTTAGTGACACAGATTGCTTATTAAATTAAGAAGGGCCCAGCAATAAAGATACGGGTAGAATAACAATTTGGAGCCTGTTGGACTATAAAACAGCTCCATTTTTCTCAATCAAATTGTGAGTGTTAAGCTGCTCGTCACCTAATGAGAAATATTACAGCATTTCCCCTCGACAAGCCTAGCATTTTTAAATTAGTGCCATGTGGGTGTGCTTGAAGCCCTTATGCTTTTAGCCACCGTGGCGCAGCTGGTTGAAAAATCTCGCCCACAGGAGAGTGCTGGGAATTGCTAGCTTTGGGCACAGTGGTATCCACCTCCCTAATCAGGAACCACAGCAGAGGGCTTCTAGCAATCGGGTCACTCCTCCACGGAGTGGGAAACTCCACCCAGCCGGTGGCTTGCCTGGCCCCTGTCCTCTCTGCAAGCTCTGTTCACATGAGGACAGCCCAAGAGGTGTGACCTGACCAGAGGCTGCGGAGCAGGGGGTCATGCAGACAGGGCAAGTCACGAGTCACCAGGCCATCCAAAGGGAGATGGGAAGGAGAATGTTGCAAGCACTGGAGTTGCTATGACTTAGGCAGCGTGGAGAACAGTTTCTGGAGGGATCTCTGTATTTTAAACTCCTTTCTGCATTTCATCGCTAATGTTCAGAATCCCAGGATGCCAGAGGATCCTGTGCATTTGGCCACAGTTTCCATTGCTTCTGCTGTGCTGTGCTGTATAACATACACATAAAATCCGTGTTTTCATAGTAGTTTTCACTGTCGTCACTGTGAACACTCAAGGTCAGCAGTACACCACATGCACTCACCAGCAAGTCGGTATTAACGGATCAACACCTAAGTGGACGTATAGGAGTAACATTTATCAGGTGTCAGGCGGTGGGAGGGGGGAGGAGGGGATGGGTATATACAACCACAACGAGTAAGATGTGCAACGTTTGGGGGATGGACACGCTTGAAGCTCTTACTCAAGGGGGGAGGGGAGCATGGGCAATATATGTAATCTTAACACTTGTACCCACATAATACGCTAAAATAAAAATCAATCAATAAATAAAAGAGTGCATCAGATCTCTGATCTCCAGTCCCAGAGTTCCTGACTTGGTAGTAGGTCTGGGGCAGAGCCCAGGAATCTGCATTTCCAACAACTTCCCTGGTGACACTGATGCCACAGCTCAGGAGGCCACACTTGGAGAACCGCAGCACTAAAGAAACATGAATCATAAGTTATTACAAAAATAGTAAGAATTAAATTCTTACATGTATTCTGTAAATCATCGAAGAACGCATATTAAGTTAATACTACTTTTTTATTATTAAGAAGAAGGGAGGTGATCGAATTTCATTATAGTGGAAAAGAGACTTTACTTGTATTGTTCAAATTCAGTCAAAAGAGGACAGATTTAGATACTGCTTGTGCAATTAAAAACAAAATATGTTTAGTTTATGATAAATGGACTACTAAAATTTTCTATTTTTTGTGGAATCAATATCCTAATTTGTTTTCCAAGAAAATGATCCATCTCATCCACTTTTATATTTATTTGCACATACTTGAGGCAAAGATACCCCATTAATTATTTCATTTTCTCTTATTATTTCCTCCTCTATTATTCAAACAAATGATATGGATTTAGGGTTTTTTGTCTTTTGGTTATAGATTTTGTTTATTTTCTTTCAGAAAAACTGTTTATGCTATTTCTATTTTGGAGTAAATTATTGACGTTTTCTTTGTGTTCAATGTATGGCAAAATTTTATTAAATATTTCTTGGCTCCTTGAAAATTCATGTAATTTGTAGGGGTTTTTTGTATATGTATTTGAATTATCAAATTAATGTGTCATCAGAATACCCTATATTATTACAAAACACTTTTATCTAAAGTGACAAAGATCTATAATGCATTAAGAGGTGTATTAAAGTATTCTAACCAAATAAATGATGAATAAACAAATAAATGATGTTTCTTGTTAAAAATAAAAAAGTCTGCCCTCCCACACATGATTCTCTTCTGTCCTCAAACTCCTTTAAATGAAAATAATAAAATTAAAAAGTTATTATCACCCAGAATAAAGACAATGAGAAAAGAGAAAATAGCAGATGGGAAATCCAACTATTTGGAAGACAGAGAGCAGATGAAGGACTGAGAGGTGGGTGACCAAGTAGAGCAGAGTCGGTCACACCCACTCACCTAGAGCAGCAAATCCAATGATGCTCGAGCCCCGGTGCCCCCTGGACCCCGGGATGCCAGGAAGCTGGGGGTGCTGGGGTGGAAGGTGCAGGGATGAGAGGCAGGGCCTCACCCATAGCACTGTCTAGAAGGGCTGTGTTCAGAGTGGTCAGCCCCTGACCCCCGTACCAGCAAAATCTATGACCTTCTCCTCAACCACAAGTGTTTTGTGGATAATTTAAGCAGATGCTCTAGACTTAAGGACACAAAGCAGAGCAGAGAACTGGGACGAGTAATGACTAGAAAATAGGGGATTAAGTGAGACCCAAATAGAGAACAGTGAGACCCTCCACTTTCTCTTGTCTTGCCTCAGAAAACCAGCAGCCAAGCCTCAACCCCTTCTCATGCACGCCCTTGCTCCCATCCCAACCAACCGCAAGCAGACGATCAGGAGATAAGACTAGGAAGGACCTCCAGACACCAACATTTGGAGGTACCTAGTGGAAAAGCTAAACTGAAATCAAGTGTGCTATAGCAATTTCACCAACGGTCAAGCACACTCCTCATAAACAGAGCTTCTTGACAGTTTTTCATGCCTTGCTCTTGAAAATAAGTGAATAGTCAAAACCATGAGACATTGAAAGAAAATGTGCAATGCAAAAAAGAGATACAAAAGCAAAACAAAACACAATATATATACACAAAGACATATATATGTGCAAAGAGGAAGAATGAACCAAACAATCAATATCCTTGGAGAGGGTAGAGATGTTGTTTCCATTAAATTTCTAAATTAGGTGTTTTTAATTGGGCATAATTAGAGATCAAGAAATGGTACTTGAAAATTAATACATAAAAATTAATAAATAACAAAGTTTGGAAGATAAAATAGTTCCAAGAACATATAAAAAAAAGATAAAATGATTAAAAGTTTGAGAAAAAATTTAGGAAACTAGAGGTTTAATCTGAAAAAAATTGGCTTTCCAGAGACCAAAAACAGAAATATTGGAGAAGAAAAATATCTATTAAAAAAATACAAGAAGAGTATTTGCCTAACTTTCTAGGACATCAGCGAACAATATTGCAGGATGTTGACTTCGCCAAAATTGTAAAATACTTATATTCATATCATACTTCTTTAAAGGGGTGAAAATAGATAATGTCAGCAATTAAAAAGTCAAGTAATGAGCTAATCAGCATAATATTTAGCAATATGGAGGTTTATCACCAGTGGAATGAACTAAAGGAAGAGAACGTGTTTGATCCCAGACAGAAAACCAGAGGGTGGGGAGAGGTGGAGAGGAGGGAATGTGGACATTTGCAATTACACAGGCTTTAGGTTTTATTATTGAAGTTTTTACCATATACATGTATTACTTAAGTGAAAATAAAAATTTATTTTCAAAGAAAAATAGTAAAACTTAACTTACACTTTTGAGAAACAAGCAAAAGAATATCTGATTACTACTTCTGTATTCACAATTAATAATAGAAAATGCTGACAGCTCACTCCATCCTTTCCCACGGGGTTGACTACTACCTTTTTCCCAGCCCTGCCTCCCACGCCTCGGCAATGAAATTGACAGAACCCATGGATCATTTTTATTACATCAAAAATCCATTTTATGAAATGATTTTAATACTAAATTTGCAGACATTCCTATGAAAGACATTTAACAAATATTGCATCATGTTACTTAGCAGACAGAGTTGAAAAGCCATTAGGAGAGAGCCCAGTTTTCAAGCTAGACAAACCCAGACTTGAATCCTGTTGCTACTAATTACCAGCCATGGGACCTCAGAATGTCTTTTAACCTGCAAGCCTCACCTATAAAATGAGGATAATAACAATGGCCACCTGAGTGGCCACTGTTGAGTGCATTCCATGAGATAAGGCATGTGAAATACCTAGTTGAGTACTTGGCTCCACTTGGAAAGTAGTAAGTAAATTGTAAGCCATAGAATTAATAGCAACAGTCATAGTAATACTCATTATTACTAAGGAAAGAAGGCTAATACTAATGTGAAAAAATTACATTAATAAGTGAAGGAGTCCTCAAATTTAATTTTAGTCCTCATTACAGGTTTTGCCTCCCCAAAACATTTTCAATCAATGAATGACATGAAGATTGACTGAGTTGGTTTTAGCATCTTTATTTTCAGCATTGTCTATTATTCTCTGTTACAGTAGCAACACTAGATAAAAGTCAGAGAAAGAAGAAAGTGGCCATATATTTTTCAAAATTAGGTCCCATAAGTCTATTAATCAGAAATGTATGTGTATCCCTTCATTCTGTATGAACAAACAGCTATGAAGAAAGGCTCATTTTCTGAGTTGTTCACAAGAGGCCAAGACTATGGCTGTAAGAACAGGTGAAAGCCAGGTGAGTTAGACCTAACCTCTTGTTTCTCTTGGCATAACGTATTGGATAATAGTGTCCTAGAAGATAGATATTATGGATAAAACTTCTGGCTATCAGCAAAAATAAGATGTTATTATGCCCTAAGAGTTGCCAAGTTTTGTTTCTAACTAAGGACTAGAGAGTAGGTGTTTTGAACAGGTAGGTTGAGACTCTAGCACTTGCTCCTCTGAGACGGTCAGTTAGCAAATCCTTTGCGCCATGACTTTTTAGCAGCGTGGAGCTCACCCAGGTAAGGTGTGACACTGAATGACAGGAGATGGAGCTGTCTCTCGGGCTCTCCACATAGGAAGGGAGTTTTTCGTTGTCACTGTTATCATTTGTTAATAGCACAGGCTGGCTTCAATATGAACAAAGAGTTCATTACAGAAATCGAAAAATAAATGGCTTGCAAGACACTGGGGATAAAACTATTATGCTCTTTGTAACTGACAAGTGAAATGAAGCCAACAAAGATGAAACACAGTCCCTTTGGCCACGGGGTGAGCAGCAGAAACATGCCTCAAGAGTTTGATCTTGAAGCACCTGTCAGCATTCACCCCCCACACCCAGCGCTGCTTCTCCTTGTCTGGGCTTCAGTGTTGAGCTCATTCGCCTCTTCTGAGAAGGAATTTCTGCAAAGATGGGAGAATTAGTGAGTCCTCAGAGGATGTTCTCTTTCAAAAGTCATTTAGTTTAAAAATAAGAGAAACAGCCACGAAAGCCTGAAAGAAAATGAAACATAAGTAATTAAGCATGTAAACTAACCAAAGGGATGTATAGTAATGTTACTAATGTAATAACCATCACAGCTAATTTGTGAAACTTCAGAATTTACATCACAGAATTACAAATGAGACAAGAAGCACCCCTTTTGAAGTGAGTGTGGTGTTTTAAAGACAAGTAAATTCCAAACACTAGAGCATAATTTAGATTTTTGTCTAACATCTTGCATATTCAGAAGGCCTCAAAAGTGCTTTTTAAAAGAGTGATTAAATAGACACAGAAAATGAGCATTTTCTTTAGAAAGAACAATGTTTATATGTTTCAAAGATATTTCCAGATAGTCTCACTATTCAAACGTTGTTCAGATAACAAGTTTATTTTTGAATATATACTACGGATTCTCTATTTAAATGTACTGAAATTAGAGACAGAACTGGATCTCCACAAAAATAGCCACTTCACTATATAAAGCTGGGATATTTCTAGGGATAGGATATTATTTGTGATGATGTATTTGATTCTAACAAAATTTTACCTGTAGAATGAGCCTGGAACACTCAATCTCCCAACCCACTAAGATCTACAGGAATGGCCTTTCTCTCTACATCTAACTCCACACTTCCTTCTTATGACTCTTTGCCTAAATATTATGCAGAATAAGGAATTGTTGACAAGAAGCAAAAAGAAGCCATTTTAGGGTCAGATGAGGAGAAGAGGTATTGAGTTGATGTGACACACTTTGTCTACAAACTATTAGGAGCGGCTCAATGCTGTGTGTTCGGCTCTAGAGTAACAAACGACATCAGGCAATGCCTCAGGAAGAAGCCATGCAGGAAGAGCAGAACAATGGGGTGTCAAGTGTTTTCCTCTGTCATTGGGAAAATGACAACATGACTGAAAGAGCCAGACATAGTCAACCAGCTCGTAATTTTGGAAATTGCTGTACAAGAATGAAAATTTACCAAAAAAGCTATACATAGAACATTCTTCAAAATATTTGCCTTAGTGGTTCACAGCACCAAATTATAGTCATGTACAAGAAATGCTGCAAAGCTCCTAACGATCAGAACTCAAGAACAACCATGACATATAATGTATCAAAAGAGTGCAATTCTCCGTTCCTATGGCCTGTGTCAGTCCCCTCCTGCTCTCGTGGACTCCTGTGCACACTCTTGCACCTCCCTTCCTTCTCTGTCTGTGCCCCAGCCCACCCTGAAGACATACAGACAGTCACTTCCCTTCCCAATTCCCTGATTCTATCTCATTTCCCTGGGTGGAGGAAGGAGGAGGAAGTGGAAAATGGAAGGTGAGAGGGACGAAGATATGGCAATATACAGTACAGGGGTCACATCTAATTTAATATTATCCACATTGAAATACTCACCCACATACACAACTGCAAATATCATTTAACTTATGCCGCATGATTATAAAACCATTTTGGCCTTCAAAAGCCTGTGGGTGAGGTTAATTTCAATCACTGTGGGCTCGTTTAATCCGAAAATCTCTTATGTTTACTACTGAAACTGATAACATGTATTTATTGTATTTTATATCATCCTGATGTTTAGAAGAAGCCACGTTCTATGGATATTTAATGTTCTCAAATCTCCTGGTCCTTAACAAACACAGGTTTCTATTTTCCTGAATGTTCCAGCTTTGAACATGCGGACTTACTTCTTTCACAATAGAAGTTATCTTCTATCATGGCGGGCTGGCATACTCTTTTTTCCTGAAATACGTTTTTGTTCTGTATGATTCTCAGAATTCTAGCTCCTGGTGGTAAGCAAAGGGAATTTTGTATGACTACACACTTTGAACCCGGGCATTGTACTGTTACAACGTCTCCTGAGATTTACTTGTGCACAACCATTAACTATCAAGGAAGGTCAGGAAGGGAGGACAGGTTGTTGGAAGAAGAAAAGATTTATTATTCTATTAGTTTAGCTCTAGCTATACATGTATGCTTTTTAATGTGCAAATAACATTACTCCTGTGATTTCAAAAACTAACAAGTGGTAAATAATATATTAGAAGCACTTGAGAAATTAAAAAGATTCAACTAGATAATAATTCTTTGAAAGTTCAATTGAATGCCTCTAGAGCATTTACTGTTGGGTTAATCAGATAGTTTTAATCAAGACTTTAATATATGTTGTTTATTAACACATATTTCCTGAGGATGAATGTCTTCACATTACAGTTCACACATACAACATTGGCTACATCCTCTGCTCTCATTTTTATGTATAGCCTTTCCTCATCACCTCTTGTCTCATGTCCAAGGGCTCATTCTGTTATCAATACAAACTAGGTAGACATTAAAAACCAGAAAGAGACAGGTCACCATCCATGTATGTTAGCACAGCCCTTACATATTTTACTGAAATTATACATTTATATATTCTGCATGATAAAAGTGTAAATTACAAATTCACATATTGGCTTCTTTGGCTGATAATCTCTTCAGAGGCAGTACTTTTTTTTTAGCTCACACAAAAACTATGGCCAGCTGCGGTTGCTCATGCCTGTGGGCCCACCCACTCTGGAGGCTGAGGCAGGAGGACGGCTTGAACCCAGAAGTTTGAGGTTGTAGTGAACTATGATCCCACCATTGCACTCTGTTGCACCAGAGCAACAGAGTGAGACTCTGTCTCTAAAACAAAAACCGATGCTGTGTCTGGTATGTAGTAAGAAAGCAATAGTGCTTTTATTGAACTGACTTAAACTGATCGTCAGAGGTTATTTACCAATATCCTTAAGCAGAAGTGGTCCAGTATATAATAAACACTGTTCAGCTAAATTGGCTTTCAACAATGGCTACATTGCATGAACTAAAACACTGAAGGACTCTTATCTTTCACCTAAGAACTAAAACCAAATATATTTCAATGTCAGTGTAAAGAACATCAACATAGTGTTTCAAGAAACTTATGAAATTGAAATGGAGCGAAAGCTATGTTACGAGTAGAAACAAGCATGATATTTTCAGAAAATGAATTTTTAATAAGTAAATATCTACCGGTAGAATTTTGAATTTATATACTTTAGAAATTTATTATTTTAAATGTCAAATCGTAATTATTTTTAATGTTTTAATAAAAGATGTCTTCACTTTCTTTTTACTAAACAATCAAAATATTTCAACTTTAAATTTGGATTCCATTAGTTTTGCATTTATCCTGCCACACATAAATGAAGATAAAAGAATTCAATGACAAATCTTTCAGAAAGCTACACACTAGAGCATTCCACATGAACATTTTTCTCTTCCCATAAGTCAAAGTGTTCTTTTCTCCACTTCTGTACTAACAGTACCTACAAGGCAGGGGAGTGTTTTAGGGGAGAAGCAAAGGTAGAGAAAGGAAAGTGGTCCAAGTAAGTTACCTGCCCAGAACGTGATTATGTTGCATATAACACAGATTTGGCTAATTCATCCCTGCTGGGGAACCCCCCAAAAATTGTCACCAGCATCCAAATTTCCTCTCCATGACCTTGCCTTATGAAGAATCAGGTGAATGGCCCATTCTTCTGTAATAAAGCCTGCAGAAACTATTTTAAGCAGAAACTTGCAGCATTGCAAAAAAACATATTTAAAGGTGAATTAGGGAAACTACAGGTTGAGTTATATACATAATTGAAGAAAAGCAGTACTTTAAAGCTGAACTTTGCAGACAGACTAAAAAGGTTCTGTAATTCACTTTAGCAGTCATGATACAAGAATGTGACCATTTAAATGAAGACTAGTGTAGGACATAAATAAAAGGACGACCTCACTTATAATCAACAGAAAGGACCAGGATCACATTTCCTCTAGTTACACTAGCTTAGGGTTCCAACAAAATTTTAGAGAGGTGACAGAGAAATAAATAATATGTCTCGGTCACCAGCTACCCATCTATGTGTGTGCATGTATCTCCAGGATGTTGAACATACACTCCCTATAACACTCTGTAGATGAGGGGATGTTATTCAATATTTTTTTTCCTAAGGGCACATTCCAGTACCTATAACAGTGCCTGGCACATAGCTGGTGCCAGGCTGAAATGAATACATACATGCTGAAATGAATGTATGAATGAATGAATGATAGAAGCAGTTTTACTTGTGCTTCCCACTGTTCCATAAACAAGTTCTGTTCTTGTAGTTCTTGTAGTTCACTCCTGTGTCTCTCCTGGAGCCTGGAGCTTCTAATCCTACCTCGGCTGCAGCTTCTGAGATCCTTTCAGCCACTTACTACTGGGGTCTCCTTACCCTGGAAGGAAATCCCCTTGGGCAAGATTCGTTATTAGATGATATCAGCATGATTATCTCTGACCCCAGTGTTTAAACCACTATTGACTAACATGGGAAGGAATGCATTTTCTTCCAGGAACAAGAGCGTGCATAATAAATTAGCCACATAGGTAATATTTTTAAATTAATTTTATATATATGAGTTAACTATTTAATAAGCAAAATATTGTTTAGTATGCCACAGTATAAGTTTAATTATTTTTAATTAATTTTGTCTTATCTTCATAACAGTAATTTATAAAACCATAAGGCAATATGACCATTTTAACATTCCTTTCAAAGACATGCCTAAACAGGGCCAATGGCTGGCTAAGTTGACATATAAAATATGCTTTTAAGTAAAGCTCCTCTGAGTTTTCAGAATATTTGAGTATGTTAATATAATATCATCTACAAAGGAGAATGACAGATAAACAGAGATATATAAATTGATAATTCTGTGGCCCTAGGAACATATTAATTGATAACGCTTATTCCCCTTCTATTTGCCGGTACTAAATTAATCATGAGTTTAATGGTCATGGAAAGTAATTGATGGTATAGATCTCAAGATACTATGAAGAATACTGTGCCTGTATAAATGGAAATGTAGTTACATTGTACGAGACGAGATCATGAGAAAGAAGCTCAGTTTTAATACATTTAATAAAAACATTAATTAAATCAGTATTTCTGGAGAAGCACCATTAGTATTTCAATGTCTTATATAGAATAACATGGAAAAGGTTTTAGGAAGTGTCTATAGGGAAGGTGCCTTCACATGATGCTTAAACATTTGGGGCATTTATTTGAGGAATTTCTCCACAGAATGCCACCAGTGTAAGAATTTAGAAGATAACTTGATATTTAGGTAATTTATTTTTATTTTTCATTTGAGTATTTAATTTCATGAAGACTTACCTTGTTGTAGAGTATCTCAGATGTAGACTGACAATGGACTTAGAACAGTAAGGGGTCACAAAGGGAAGAGTATGCAGTAGAGACCATACAAATCTATTGGTTATAGGTGATGGTAAACAAATGTCAAGCACTTTATCAATGGTTTACAAATATATCAAAAGAGAAAAAAAAACTAGTTTGGAAAATAGGATCTGAGGACCCATGCAATAGCAACTGTTTGACTTTCAGACAGTTATTTCAGCTCTCTGAATTCTGGTTTTTATATATGTAAAAAGAGTGGGTTAAACTTAGTAATTACTAAGACATTTTCAGAAAGTGCAAATCTTATAAAGGAAATTCTAGCTAACAGAGCCCCTATTCAAGGAAAAAAAATGGAATGCAATGGTGAATATATATGCATAACTACACTGAATTTTAAATTGTTGCTTGTTGGCAAGTGGAAATAAACATACAGTCCTCCAATGACAAAATCACCACTAACTGTAAGCACATGCAGCATTTATAAGGCAGACGAGTTGACATAATGTGAATGACAAGAGACAAATCTTTCCTATTAATGTTCAAGGGGCACTTCTTCTAATAGCTTGCAGTAGTATCATTTGTATACATGAAACATATCTCATTTTAATAATGAGAGCAATATCTTAACTCTGAACGTGGCAGAAATATAGTCTCAGTAATGTTAATTTTTCAATGTAGCAAACCTTACCACAATTACAGTCTTGATAACAAATCCCCAGAAATTAGTATGGGGTTTAATTCAATTTTAAAGAAGATTTAACATTATTACTTGACTGTAGTCAATGGAACACCAAAAGAAAATATTTTCAAAGACCACTTTCAAAACTAGGAGAAGAAACAAGGTCTTTGGTCTAAATATATCCTAAAACCATCCTAAACAGGCAAGACAGACATTCTTGACATGGATTTGTGCTGTTTACTTAAGTATATTTAGGCAAACAAACTGCACGATTCACAAACATCAACTCAGTACCTATTCTGAGCATCTACCTTGTACTACTGCTGTGCTAGGTTCTGGGAGCTGATGCAGAAATAGAGAGACACACGGATCCTTGGAATCTTACAATCCATCAGTTCCTGCCTGCAGATGCTCTGACCAGTACCGGCAACTCTTGATCTGAGAATCTGGCCTAACCAAACACCTGGAAGAATCCTAACCGACAATGAACCCCAGGACTACCAGCAGGGGAGAATGGGATGTATTTTTTTGCCCTAAATTCCGTGTCTATATTCCAGTGCCCTCTTAGGCTTATACAACGCCTGGCCACACTCTCTCTTTGTGCTGAGGACTGGCCTTTTCGTTGTGTTCCCAAGAGAACCCACATTTAGCCCATTTGCCTGGAACCTGAATCCATTAAGAATTTACAGCCTCAGTGGTAGCTTGAGTCCCCCCACCTTCAAACTGCCATTGGGGCCTTCCAGGCAGAACTCCCTGAAATTCAAGAGACGGCAACCCCTAACTCATCTTGTTCCCTGTCTAGTAACTTTCTGCTTCGGTGTTCAACATATTAGACCTCCAGGACAGCTACCTTACCGTGGTTGCCCCAGGATTACCCGTTGCTCTCTGGGCGCTGTCATACCAAACGCTGGCTGTCCCCATGGAGAGACCGGCTGTCCATCAGCTCGGATTCTGTCTGTACCTATTTTTCCTCTCCCTCTCTGCTGAGGCCTTCACATGTCTCACAAAGAGAAGAAACAATACTCTGTATATAAAACAATTAGAACATAAAGCAAACATTAGATAATAAAGGATCAGTTAAATATATTCAAGAACTAATTCATTGTTATGGCCTATATATGTCACTGGAGAATATCAAAAGAAATATATTAAATATACATAGTTAATTGTAATAACTCTACTACATGAATCTGTTCAAGATTTTCCATTGGGATGGTGCACAATGAATCCTCTTCTATGGCCTGTATAGAATAATATTGCTTCTGAGAAGAAACTTCTGTGGATTACCATTTAAATAATTTAGATACAGTAGTGGAAAATTTTCACATTATAATTCTTCCTCTCAAAATGCAAAATACTTTCCATTAAGCTTCATGATGAACATAATAAAACTTTTAAAAAACCGAAGAGTAACATTATTCAAAACTCCAAGTTGAAGTTGTTTGTGAAATGCACTTCTGTATGGCTCATTTGAGTTCTCTGCTGCCACTTGGTTGAGATGAATGAGCGCAGAGAGCAGGCATGAGCTCACAGATTTGTTGCTATTATTCAACTAAAGACAGTTTCCCAGAAGGCTAGATTAACAGAGCGCAACCTGTCAGGTTCTTCTTTGAAGGTTGAATCCTCACAGTGAAAAGAAGGAAACATCAGAGGGAAAAATGCAAGACTGGGTTACCCAAAATTGCAGAATCCAAAAGCATATCATTACTTTAAGTTTAAAGACTAGCCTCTCTCCACCTATACCATCTCTTCTTTCTTCTAGCACAACACTCTTTTCTTAGAGAATGTTTCTAAAGCAACTTTAGTATTCACAATTTTTCTCCCCCAAATATTTTCTAACTAGGTAGATTTCCCTTATCTTTCTTATAAGCCTTTAAAGAAAATATTTACATTATATTTTTAATGTCTTTTAAAATACGTGATATTCCCCTAAACCTGAAATGAACAATCTTGTCATGTCTCAAATAGACATTGTTCATGTGAGAAAAGCAGCTTGGATGAGGACTTGGAGAAGGTTTGCTCAATATCACCCTTTTCATTTTTTAATCTAGTCTTACTAATCGTGATTTAGATAGTTTTTGTTTCCCTTAAATTATATGTTTTATATATATTAAAATACATAATTTTAATGATCCAAGTTGCGGCATAGTAGATCTGAATGTTCTGAAAGTTTTCAAAATCAATGACCAGACAAAGCATTTATAATCATTATAAAGGACAAATGAAAATAATTAGGGCTGGAGAAGTAATCAGATCAGCAGTTTCACATTGGCTATTTCACTGATCATTGTCCAACCATATGTGGGCACCTTTGAACATTTTTATTTCAAGTGAAACTTCAAAAAGTAGACAGAAAAAAATAAAAACAGTCTAACATGAATCATCCAAACAGAATTCAATATAAAATTATTAGAGGACATATAGAGGGGCAGTTAAGGAGAGAGACTGCACAGCAAAAGTGTGATGTTTGACTCCTTGGCTCTGTTACCCACCGTGTGACTCTCGGCAAGCTACTTAACCACTCTGTGCCTCAGAACAATCTTCCCTCTTCTTTCCTATGGGCTGCAAAAGGCTGATGAGCTGGACCTGGTCTGGGCCACCTCTTATCTGGTCCTTTGGAGGTGTATGACTAGTGCCACTCTTCAGAATCCTTGGGCCCTTGTCACCAATACATCTGATATGTGGAGCCTCAGATGTATAAAATTAGAAAAATTATCTTGAATATAATTATCATGCATTTCTGTAGCACTGTATACACACTACTATCCAACTTACTATTTGTACTATTTTAATTTGAAACGTTTTGAACTTTCATAAAAATTGTCTTATCATAAAGGAATACCCATATACTACTTTCACCAATTGTAAACATTTGTTATATTTGTTTTCTCTTTCTCTCTCTCCTCTTCTCTCTCTCTCTCTCTCTCTCTCTCTCTCTCTCTCTCTCTCACACACACACACACACACACACATCTTTGTGTTTATACTTGGCTAAATCATTTGCAGATACCATGACCTCAAACATTTTATCCTATCTCCTAAAATCAAGGATATTCTCCTAAATAACCACTATACAATTATCATATCAGTAAATTTAACATTAATATAATACGATTTTTCAGCCATGTTCTTTATGGCAATATTTTCTCTGATTTAGCATCAAATCTAGGCTCTTGCATTGCATTTAGCTGTATTATGGCACTATGCTAACATTGCTTTAGCAATTTCATCATTAGTCCAGTCTCTCTGGATTAGGCCAGATTATAAAGTCTTGATGACACATGCTGTGTTAATGAATTAATTAATCTCTGTACTTTTGGTATAAACACAGTTCTCAGCACATAAAAGGGCCATGGTAACCATTTGACAAAAGGCTGTTTGGAGATTGTTAGTTCTTAAGTACCAATCACAAAATTTGACATAGTGGTATTTCATATTTTAAAAACTGAAAGGAACTCAGAATTTTTTTTTGTTTTGTCCAAATCCTTCCTTCTTAGATGAGATCCCAATGAGTAACTTGCAAATTTCACAAAGCCAGGAAGTGCCAGAGCAGGACCAGAGTCGAATGCCCAGCTCCCAGGGCATCTCGACCTTCCATACACTGCGCCGGCTTTGGCAGCCACCCTCAGAGCCCATTATAAATATGTAAAATGCAATTCCCTTGCTCAGCATCCATTAATTTGGGCAACCTCACTAATGAAAAGAATAAGCATAATTTAAAATCTTGCGCTGCCCTTCTCTGGGCTGAGCTGTCCACATTTAGAAAAACAATCATGGCACTGAAACAACCTTTCATAATTGAGATAGATGCGGATCTGTTATCACAGTGCATCAAACAACAAGCTATTTTCCATCATCACATGGTACATTGTGCAATGTTTAACTGGAGTGTTGGAACATGAATATCACAATCAATTTAACAATTAGCATTTTCCAAGACAATAGACACATTATTGGTTGGAACAGTAGCACACACTTCAAACAGAGAGCCACTGAACCACTTCTTAATGGCTGCTTTAGTCCTTTTTATGTAGGCTTAATGAACAAGATGGACATTAGGAAAAATTTATTTGGAAATTCATAAAAAAACATATTTTGTTCAAGCAATATAATTTTCCACGTCTCTTCCAAAACTACCCATTTTAAAAAAATATGAATTTTAAAGATTAACTCCCTTAGTGATTTTCAGTGGCATGCATATAAATTCCCTGACATTAGCGTAACACTATTATATAAATTAATACATGTTATCCTTTTACCAGAGTGAAAAGATAATTTATGCCTCAAGAAGAACCCAATTCATATTTCATTTCATAGTTTTACCCAAATAAAATTTATCCATTTCATACATAAATTCTTAAACTGCAGTTTTCCCTGGGACAGGAAGTGGAGAGCAAGGTTTCTTTGAGAGTTAAAAATCAAAGAGCTAAATTCCGTTTTATTTCTGGAGTCATCAGGCACATAAAGTCTCTAGAGGGCTGCTCTCTGGACTCAGACACTTCCTTTCCCTGATAACATTTACAGCTATCAATGAAAAAAAGGCCACATGTCACCTAGTCTGTAAAAGAATCATAGTAGAGGAAGAGAATGTGTTCGGGGGAGTACCATTGTTGATCAAGAGGCTAATTAAATCGTGATCATCAGAGTGGCAGAGACAGAACACCAAACTGTGACGGGCAAGTAGTTTCAGCGGGGTTTTTTGTTATCTGTGTCTTTCCTCTTCTATGAACATGATAGCAATTTGAGGGCAGGAACTGTCCTTTTTACCTCCACTCCCCAGTGTTTCTGTAAGTGTATTGAATGTGGGAAATGTTCAAGACAGAGGTATGTAGGGAGGGAGGGAAGGAGGGAGAAAGAAAGAAAAAGGGAAGATGGAGGGAGGGAAGAAAGGAAGGGAGCATGTTGCACCAATAAACCTTCCAGTGGAAAATAAAACTCTCTCCATCTCCCCCTGTCATATAACTTCCCTTACATTCTTTGGTTGCAGCACATTTGTTTCTTCCATTCCCTTATCCTCTGCCGGGCATCACAGGGAATCTCAGTTCTCATAAAATGCAGCCATAAGATTTCCTCTTCCAGAAAGCTTTTTACCACTTATCCTATTCTTGTGCAATGTTTTGATGGACATTTGAGAACGTTATGGTATTAGATCTATAAGAGGATTTAAGGTAATTTAGTCCAACTCCCTCATTAAGAGATGAAGAAACAGAGACATAAAGAGATGAAGGGATGTGTCCTCCCTCAAATAGCCGCTCATAGCAGAGACAACTCTAGAAAACAGATTTTTCGGATTCCTGGTGTATTTTTCTTCTTTTCTCTTTTGAGATGATTTCAAGCTTTCAAAAACAGTTTTGCTGTCTTAGTGCCCCATTACCCCCAAATATTTTAGAATGTATTTCTTACAAACAAAATCTTTTCCTACAAAGCCCCAATGCAATCATTGAAATAAAGAACTTAGTATTAATACATCACTACCCTCTGATTCACATTCACCATTCCAGTTTCAGCAATTGGTTAAAAATGTGCATTTTAGCAAAGGGTTCAATCTTGGACCCTACTAGGTGACTATGTCTCTTTAATCTCCTTCAATCTGCAACAGTGCCTCAGGGTTTCCTTGGCTTTCATGACACGGACACTTTGAAGATATAGGCTAGTTACTTTGAAGAATTTCCTTCACTCTGGTTTTGTCTGATGTTTCCTCATGATTGCATTCAGGTTATACGTTTTTGGCAGAAATATCACGCATGTAATGCTATGTTTTCATGGCACCCAAGTAGGTGTTATATCAATACAATTTTGATTAGTCTTATTTGGTAATGGACTTGTAACCTTGGCCACTTGATTAAGTTGGTGTCTGTCAGATTTCCTCATTGTAAAGTCATTCTTTGTCTTTTTGTGGAGATACTTTAAGACAATAATATCCCATGCAGCATCAAACTCTACCACTACTAGCTTTATTCATTCATTGAAGTGATTTGTCTGAATTATTATTGTAATGCCTAACAAATGATTTTCTTCTTTCTT